GTTACCATAGAAATCTCTAAAATCATAACTTTAAGGGGGTGGGTGGGTAGTAATCAACTGTACTATCACTTTTGGTGCAAGCATTAACGGCCATCAAAACCTGAAAACAGAAGGACCCAGGTTCGATTCCAAAATGAGGAGGTGGTTTCTCATGCAGCAGAGTACAGAGTACAGACACACCAAAGGATGGTGTGTCTGCAGAGAGAGCATAAGGACTAAAGAGCAGTGTAAATAAGTAATTGGAAAAGTATTAAGGTTTACCCAGTAGATGAATCCCATCAATTTCAGAGAATCCCTGGAACTGAAAATACTGGGAGCCTAGGAGAGTCATTAAGGCAAATACGACACTTGCCCTGTTTTCACTCTTCCATGAGCATCCACCCACAGCCACGGCTGGTGAGGCTGGCTGCTTCGACAAACGCCAGAGCTGAGCCACTTTGACATGTCTTACACTCTGTTCTTAGATGAAACTGCTTATTTACATACATATATCTTTAAACTTCTGCAATTCAGGTGCCCTTTAGGAATATATTTCTCTTAGCTGGGGGAGATTTTTGGTGTTTTTCCTCTTTTTGCCTGTACCGTCTCCATTTCATGTCATGACAGCTATAAAGACCTTTTGATGCTAAATGATGTTCAAGCATGTAGGTGGCAAGAACTCCAAGTTGAAAAATGCAAACTTTAGAAAACTTCACAAATATCTCTGTCTGCTGAAGAACCAGAGATGATATTTATGTGAGAAACATGCTAATTTATTACCAATTGCTAATTACTACCTCAAGAAATGAAGGAGGGAGATAGTTAATTACAAATGCTACTAAAGGCAGGATGTATTTCACATGTTTGAAGATCTAGCCTTTTTTCTAAGCTAGTCAGACAGGTTTTCTTTACAGTGAGAGTATGTATGTATGAGAGAGGGGGGTTAGTATGTGCAGAGAGAGCCTAATGATTAGCTGACTTGTTGCAGAACTTGTATGGAGCCACAGATAGATTTGATTAATCGCACCCTACACAGCCTGGAAGAACCAATTTAAAATCTTGCATCTCTACTGAAATTGTAACTGCCAGGAGTCTCTGACTATCTGATTCTCAAGAAGGCTGGACAGTTATTATCAGATAAAGCTAACTCTGAAAAAGACAATACTCGTTTCTGAGTGTAATGAAAAGAAATCTTTAATTCTTTCCTTTCATCAGAGATGAGCAGGTAGTAGCACACCACGTATGGCAATACAAAATTAATTCAGTTTGAGTGTGTAGAGCTGAGGATATCCAATTAACTACATTACCATGGGACCTATATACGCAAATTGTGTAACTAACTTAACTGGGGAGAAGATGAAGTTTTTAAGTCCCATTTTCTAATGTGTCTACCTTAGCTCCCAGTAATTTAAGGGGATCTATTAATACAAGCTTATCCTTGAATGATACAGGTCAGCTACCAGTTGCTTTACACAGCCATGAAGCACCTAGTGAGAGTTTCGGAAAATTTTAAAAACGTTCAGGGTTCTTTTTTTTTTTTTTTTTTTTTTTTTTTTAAAGCCTTTTTTTTTGGTAAGTCATTTTAATTGTACTGAGTAATTAGAAGGTACACACAGCCAAGGGAGCTTTGTTATGGTAATTGCTCAAGAAAACCCACTCCCCAACTCCCAT